AAATGCAACTCAAAACCATGATGAGATATCACCTCACACCCATCAGAATAATTATTACAAAAGAAAAAGACACCGGTTGGAATGCGGAGGAACTGAAACTCTTGCACACTGTTGGTGGGAATGCAAATGGTGCAGCTTCTCTGGAAAAAAGCATGAAAGTTCCTCAAAAAAGTTAAAAATAGAACGACCACATGACCCAGCAATCCCATTTCTGGGTATTTATTCAAAATAACTGAAACCAGGATCTCAAAAAGATAAGCACTCTCACATTCATTGCAGCTCTATTCACAATAGCCAAGACATGGAAACAACCTAAACGTCCATAGTTAGATGAAGAGACAAAGAAAATGTGGTATATAGATACAACTGAATATTATTCAGCCTTAAAAGAAAAGGAACTTCTGCAATGTGTGACATGGGTAAACCTTGAGGACAATATACTGAGTGAAATAAGCCAATCACGGAAGGACAAATACTCTATGATTCCAACAATATGGGGTATCTAAAATAGTAGTATTCACAGAATCAAAGAGAATGGTGATTTCCAGGGGCTGGGGAGGGCAGTGGGTAAATAGGGGGTTACTAATCAATGGGCTTCAAGTTTCAGTTAAGCAAGATGAACAGTTTGTAGAGATCTGTTGTATAACACTGCACCTATAGTCAACAATACCATATTGTACATTAAAAAATCTGTTGAGATAAGATCTCATATTGTGTTCTTATCATAATAAAATATAATTTTAAAAAACACATAAATCTTTGTATCTCAGTACCCTTGTCTGCAAAATGGGCATAATAATACCTTTCAGTAATTACAACTGTATAACTTTCTAAGTTTTTGCTGTTATTCTTACTGCCAGGAAGTTCAAAGTCAAATTTGCAGCTCTATCAAAGCAAGTATGTTTATTAAACAATATTTAGAGCATATTTGCATTTGTACTTTTTCTTGGATTTGATTCCTATTTTATCAGTATATTGCACATTTTGGGGGAGTGTCTACTTGTAAAGAGATAAAGTATATATAGATAAATAAATTTAGTGTATATCTCAGGAAGTCTATTCAGAAGACTGAAAGTTGATCCCCCAACATGAAATTAATTAATGTTAAAAATGTTTT